TATTTATAGATGGAATTTTTTTTATTACTTCTTTTTGTTACATTTCCTTGTAATATGCAAGAGGTCTTCAAGGAAATATGAACACATTGTACTTTCAAATAAACAAGGTAGTTTTATTTATTTTTTATTAAATTGGTAACCCCAATTGAATGAAAACACTTTGCTATGATCTCGGGAACTAGGAGGCTGCAACACACAAAACAAGTATCTCGATTTGAAAATAAAATAACTTTCTGTTGATAAAATATTAGCGTAGTCCTCCCATTTGGAATTCAGTTTATTAAATATTTTTACCACCATTTATCAGAATGCTTCTTTTATAAACACATGAAGTTAATGTTTTTTTATTTAAAATGGAACTCATATGGAAGACGAGGGGTACATCAACCTCCTCCCCAAGGGAAGTGTTGGTTTTCCCCTAGTTTATTTTAACTTATATAGTACCATCTCAAAGCATAACGTTATAAGACCAAAGCATAGCTAGAAAACATGTGATAATCACTACAAAAAAAAAAGACCATTAGTGGCGGAAAAAATCGTCGTTAAAACCACATGCAGATGACCAAATCTATTGTCTTTATAGAATGCCTAAAACTTTCCCTTAAAATATTGCCCACATTTATTTGAACAAAGAATTTTAATGTGTCATTGAAGTTAATCCTTATACAATTTAGATGCATCAAAAGCTTGGTATGAAGGAGTCATTATAGAATGATACTGCTAATAATATATGATTCTATTGGATCTTATATCAAGTTACCACTAATTGATTATTTATTAGTATAATTTAATTATTAATAAATATATCAAAAGTTGTATTTAATTGGAAAATATTATTTTTTGGAAATAATATTTTATCAACATATTGGGAAGTATTATTTCTAAGAGATAATTCTAAAGATGGCAAAACTACCAATATATCATAGGGCATGATTATTTAAGTTGTGTACAAAATTTTGGACACTTTAAGTAAGCAAATTACTTTCTATCTAAACTAGCTAGTTGAATAAATTAAATGGCATTTAATTATTGTACCATATGACCATCATGGTCGAAAATCATGAGGGACATGGTCTAGGATTGCGTTTTTTCTTTATTTAATCAACACTCCATACTTGTAAGGAGCATGTTTTCACTTTTGCTTTAATGTCTCCTCTTACTTTTGTATAAGATATAAGTAAATTTATGGAGTATGCAAGCAAGGGTCTTGCACGTTGTTTCCTCGCTTTCAGAGGTCCAAACTGTGAGTAAAAGGAGTTCCCAAGGGCTACCAAAATTTTGAATTCAAGCCCCCTCTTCCTTCTTCTTTCTTGAAAATTGTGTAAGATAAAAGACCATTACTTGCTTCACCTTTGAATATATATTTGGTATATATTTCTAAGGCTTATAAACAACTAATTTACAAGTGTTTACTGACAAATTTTGGTGGTGGTAAGCTTTCTTGGTGGATACATTATAGAGCTTAATTTAGAGCTTAAATCCATCTTCATCAATTTCCTATTTGCCAAAAGGAACTAAAGTCTTCAAATGCTGTTATGCTTTCTTCTTCTTTGGTTATGTTTAATCTTTATAAGTTTTTCCAAAATGATCCTTGGTGCATACGAAATGGTTTTAGTTTATTCAAACAAAATGCTTCTGTTGTTAATTACATCAATTTTTCATACTAAAATTGGAGTGTTTTTGAATAAAATACCAAAAATAAGTTCTTGTATTCTTCTAAAGTCTTAGTTAGTTGAAAGCATGTTTTTAATAACAAAGCAAGTGGGAGGCACATGTAACTTGAAGAAGCTTAAGAACTATAGCATGATGTTGTACGAAGTTGCACTAGTTTTAGCAAGAAACTTTTAAACATGAATAAAAGCTATTCATAAACACAAACTATTCACGTTAATGGTAGAAATCATCTATGACTTGAGAAATATGAAATTTCTCATTGATATGTTCTATTGAAGGTTTCAAACAAATCCATTAAACTACCAAAATGCTATATGAGATCTTGAATCTGGTTAATGACTTAGGGTCATGAACATTGTGATGTAATCCATATATAATAATCAAGTATGGGCTTGGTTAATCTTACTCCTTGTAGCAAGTCTAAAAGGAATAAGTAATTCTTTTAGTAAGAATACATCCATGAATATCTATACACATTTAGTAATTCTCATACTCGTGTCACTGAGTATGGTCCTTTTCATACTCATGACATTAACTATATTCAAACTTTTTCACAAGTAGCTATGTTTAGATCAATAAGGATATTATTTACTATAACTACATATTCTTAATATGATACACAGTAAATAGATTTCAAGAAAAACCATTTTTATTAATAGACATCTACTTAAAGATATCTATATATCTTAGCCAGGAGGTTTTCTTAATCCTAGTTATTAGAACAAAATGTGGAAGGCTTAAGATCCACTTGTGGATATAAAACAAATATCTCCATATTAGAATATATACAAATATAAGGTGTACTTTTATATCAAAATGAAGATAACATTTATGTTTACTAAGAAAAAGTGGGATCATAGTGATATTCCTAATCTTGTATGAATAAAACATATTTAATCATGAAAAATTACATTATGACCATGCCAGGTTTTTTTTTACCTTGACTCGGAATGTATTTCTAAGATAAAAGACTTAGGAATGACAAGATACATTCTTGAAATGTAAAATCTATAGAGATAGAAGATATTTATGTAAGGAGCTACACAAGAATTATAATTAGACTACGACTTCATTATTGAATGAAAAGTAGGTTTTGTAGGAATGAGGCCCAAGCAATGAATAATTAGACAAACCATTAAATAAGAATAAAATACTACTTCACAAGTTGAAATTAAATATGATTAACTAGATCATTGAAAAACTAGGTTGAGTCATTCTTTTCAAGGATAACCTAGAAATCTTTTGTGACTTGCAGAGTATACTTAATCAAACTAAGAGACTCTATGTCACATCAAAGCATTGATCATATTCGCCAAGATATTTAACTATACTTTGAGTAAATTCACATGTGGAGATGATAGTATTCGAAGAATTCAAACAAATTAAGTTTAGTCGGACCCATTAATAAAGTCCTTCCATTTAAGCTAAGTACGAGTGGTCACACTTGAGCTATAAGACTTCACTATTCTAGAAATGTGATTTTGATTTGAATTTAGTATTTGAATATTGGAACATTAAGACAACCTCTATTATATATTGTTTTGATATATTAGGATATGATCATCATATTTATACTTGTTGTGTTCTATATTAACAACTTTAATCTATTTATAATCTTATTATTTTAAAAAGTTCATAGTCTATTATAATTGTAAGAGCAATTATGAAATAAGACTAATATAAATTAGACTGGTCAACTCTCACAAGATGAAAGTAGGTAAGTAGTTCTAACAAAGTTTCATAGGTATTTGTCAAAGAACTGGTACTGAACGAACCCGCATCAAGATCATCTCATATATTGTAGTTATGAGTGATACTTGATTAAAATGTACTATCTTTGTATCTTTAACACTAGAGATAAATAATGGAACTTAAGTGTAGAGAATAGTGTGTTTTGATATGATCAAATGTTGATCCTTAAAGGGACAATTATAAAATCTATTTTCAGGTATAATATGAACTATGCAATTTGTTTCACTATTAGCGATGACACTTTTATATCTCGCCACTATTAGCATAGCTGATACTGGCAATTATTCTTGTTAATACATGATTATTTAGTAAAAATCTAAGTTTGAATATGTACTTGATATGTTGTAATTTAATATTTAGTATAAATATCAACACAAATGAGTTAGAACATTAGGTATGTAGTTGATATGTTGATATGATGTCATTAAATTACCACAATCGTTTAGAAAGAGCTTCAGAGGATGTACAATCAAGAAGATCTTTTTGAACGTTTGAAACACAATTCGCTAAAACGTGTCTAATAGCAAAAACTGACTTCCCTTTGCTAACGAATCCCATTATATAAAACGCATGTTCAATTTATTATTATTATTTTTAATAAATGATTTATGGTAATATTTTTAATAACTAGAGACAAACTTTATAGCAATACATATAAATGGCTAAACGGTAATACCATTGGCACACTGGTAGGTTGAATATGCGCAGTTGAATGCAGAGCAGGCGACAACCAAATTAACCTTTTAAGTTTGAACCATGCCTGCCAGCTATTCGGTTAAATGCCACAATGTGAATTTAGATATCTAGTGTTACTTTAGGTCTTCTTTTACCTGACTCAACTGCAACTTGCTTAAGGAGTTGAGTTGAAGAAAACAGTAAAAGCATTAAAAGGAAATAGGTTTCAAAGTTTTTTAGATAATTCGATAGAATAAAATCGATATTTTATTCCTTAACGCTTTTTCTTTGAAAAAAAAGAGAGAAAATTAATTATGTGTTATTGTACAAAATATATATTGATTTGTATTTTTTTTTAAATAACCAAAAATTTCCGACTTATTAAGGATTCATCATTTACAATAAAAAATAACTTTATGTAGTATTAAAAAGGAAAAAAGACAAAACTTCAAAAATGGTCCCTTTGGTTTCCGAAAATATCAAGTTTAGTCCTTAAATTCAAAAAACCTCACAGATGGTCCCTATGGTTTCAAAAGTTTTAATGTTTAGTCCTTCATCATTTCAATATCCGGTGACCATTTATGAGGTTTTCTCTTATTATCTTAATTTTTTTATTAAAAAAGAAAAAGAAAAAATGAAAGAAATTTGATATTTCTCTCTCTCTCTCCCCCTTGCCTCTTCTCTCGTCGTCGGCGATCATAAATCGACGATGAGTCAAGAAGTTTCTTAAATCCTCCAGGAAACCACTGTTGGCCATCTTTATAACTCCTTCCAAAACCCCTTGTTACTTTTTCGTTAAGTTCAGAATTTGTTCAAATACCCTCTTGTTTTCCCAATTCCAAACCCTAATTTCTTAATTTCGAGTCAAATAGTCGGAAGGTTACTCAGATTTCTCTAAGATGTGGCACCAACAACCATTTGAGAAGTCTGTCGTGGAGTCGAGAATAAGCGGAGTGTTATATCCAACGATGTTAGAGTCGCCTGAACTCTGGTGGTCATTCATTCGGAAGATATACTCTATCGTCGCCATACAGTTACTTCTTACCATCATTGTCGGTGCCGTCATTGTCTCTTATCATCCCATTGTCACTTTCATGACAATAACCACCGGTGGATTGGTTTGTTATATTGTTCTGATCATCGCACCATTCATAAGTAAGTTCTCGAATTAGTTTCCCTCGATTTCTTTGTAATATATGCATTTTTTTGGTTTAAATCATGCGAGCATGAATCGATGAGGTTTTTTTGTTATAATTTGCTCTGATCCTTATTATGGTTTGCTTCTATCAATCGTCAATAAATGAAATTCTAGTGGTATAATTTGGTTTGATTTCTTTGTAACTTCTAATGCTCTTTCGAATTCGTGTGATCGTGTATTTGATTACAGTTTTGTGTTGTTTTACAGCCCTGTGCCCATTGTACTATTATCATCAGCATCATCCGATCAACTATCTGCATCTTGCGATCTTCACTCTGACTCTTGCTTTCGCAATCGGTTGACATGCGTATTCACTAGCTGAAACAACGAAGTAGCAACGGAGGGAAGCAGCGATCCTCAGGGGTGTTTGGTTGTTTCTGATCAACATGAGGAAGGGTGGAGGAGGGTTGTCCACATTTCGTCTTCTGGCTGCTCCGGTGACTAAAACGGAGAACCCGTTTCTTGATTTTGTGAATGATTTCATTGGGTTGCTAATCGATTTCATGTCTGTTACTCAGGCTCAAATTCTTGGAGAACTTTTAGGGAGGAAGAGAAAGATAGAGAAAGATAGGATGGGGATCGGAGTGTAACTTACCAGAGGAACCGGTGATAGAATTTGGTGGTGACAAACGGTGAGGAATGATGCGATGGTGGGGGCAACGAAGAATGATTTGATTCGATCGATCGAGAGAGAGAGAGAGAGAGAGAGAGAGAGAGAGAGAGAAAAGGGGGAAGAAGATGTTTAATATTAAATAATTATATTTATTTATTTATTTATTTTTTAAATTAAGACAAAACTTCATAAATGGTCCCTGTGGTTGTGAGATGACAGAAATGCCCTTCACTTAACGGCTAATTGTTAACGGAGTTAGCGAAAAGGATCATTTGTTAAAAGTTTTGAAACCACATGGACCATCTGTGAGGTTTTTTGAACTTAGGGATTAAACTTGATATTTTTGAAAACCACAGGGACCATTTTTGAAGTTTTGTCAAGAAAAAATATATATACCATGTTGTTTTTTTTTTCTAAATTGCGAAATTGTTCTTCATATACTATAAAATTTTCTTCTTGTACTTCTAATTTCTTTCTTGTTTTTCATATACTATAAAATTTTCCTCATGTATTTCTAATTTGTTTCTTCACATAATAAAAAATTATTCATTTTTTTTAACAAATATATATATATATATATATATATATATATATATATATATATATATATATATATATATATATATATATATATAAAATCATTTTTTTTGGAAATCTCTAAAAATTATTTTTGCAGAAAACAAATATTATAGCGTGAAAATGAAATGTTAGGTTTTAGATAAAATTTCAAAAACAAAATTTAATAAAAAAACACAAAAATATTTAAATAGATTTCTTAGTTAATAATTCTTCTACCACCAGGCAAGTGCAAAAACTAAAAAAATGACCGTTTTAAAATTTATAACCATTAAAAATGACTACTTAAAAAATCGCATTTGTTCAAACCTATGTATCTCAAAAAGTTTGGATACAACTATAAAGAGGTTCGATGAACACATTAGAGGTCCCAAATCTTTATTAAAATTAATAGGTATATTGCTCAATAAAACTTGGTAAACTCCTTCAATGAGAGATTCAAATTCAAATTATGCATAGGGCTTCAATCATAATTACCTGTGATAAATGTGAATCTTGCGAAACTTCACAAAATCATGGACCACCTTCGGAACCTAATTTAAATGAGAATACTCAGTTTTGCATAATTTAATTATGTGTTAAACCAGAAAAAAAAAATGATAACATGTGTTTACGATATTTAGGACTTTGGCGACTGCATTGACTTTTTAAAGCTGACATCGCCTTGCTTTTTCTAGGAGACTCTCTAGCTCCACGGGTAGGGAGGGGTGGGGGTGTCTTCAAGAGAGATACTAAGGGGTCGATTTTCACTGTTGGTTCGATTGGTGTATTTTCGTCAGGATTGAATTTGATATGTATACAGTGTATCAAGTTATCGTTAGTGATGTTAGTAGGGTTTGGCTAAAACAACATACATACGATTTCATGTTGTATGATAGTTGTTGATGCAAAGAAATAAGAATGAAGGGGAATGATGATTTAGAAGAACATAACAAGGCATTGGGAAAAGGTGATGTGATGGTGGACGGTATGAAAGCAAAGTGAATGAAGCCTAATTTTACCATTCTTGGTAAAGTTTTGGTATACTATTATATCATGGCTTTTTCATTGAATTTAGAACCTAAATATATGTAGACCATTTGTGTGAATCATGGCAAAGTTGTAGATGTCTACATTTCCAAAAATTATCCAAAGTTGGTAAGAGATTTGTGCTTGTTCGATTCTTAAACGTTCAAGATGAAGTAGAATTAGAGAAGAAGTTATTTGGTATTTCGATTGAAAACTATCATGACTTTGTTTCTATTGCTTGATTTTTTAGAAATGATAAAAAAATATGGTGGAAGAAAAACAAGTGATCTTGAATGTGAATATAACCGATGGGATGGAAAACATGGTAGGTGGTATGTGCTCCATTACGAGTCTTGTAACGTGGAAGGATGTTAAGATGGGTGTGGTTGCTCAACCAAAAACGATCGTCCGAGAATCTTGTTCGATACAAATTACCTTCTAGTTATTCCAAATTCTGCTTTTTATGGATTTAGGAGAGGCAGGGAATGTTTAAGCTATAGGAAATCGACATAAAATTTTAAGCATGAAGGCTTTATGAATATTGAAATAAACTACATTGGTAGGGGTGCGGGTATGAATTGAACTTTAATCAAGAACGCGTGCCTTAAATTCAAACAAAATGATAGAACAAAAACGCCTTTCATGGTGAATATGGAATTAATTAAAGGCTTTGTGATGACGGGGAGCTTAGTGTGTTAAGATTAAAGGTTTATTGTTATGTGAATAGATGACTAGTGTTTTCAGTTGAGTGGAAAGGGTATGGGTTATGTTTTTGTTTCAAGACGAAGAGGATGAAGAGAAAGATGTGAATATCGTAGGTGATAAGGTATTTATAAAAACTATGATATCCTCGATAACCTGATAAAATGATGATTGTTGACGATGTGTTATATGAAGTGCACGTTTGAGAAAAATTTGGGTGGGTATGCATTGTCGTGAATCATGAAAATGATTATTTATGTAATTATGGGTGTCAATATAAGCATGAAGAAAGTTATGATGGATAACATGAAGAGAGTGTATATTTAGATCATGGAGAAGAAGAAAATATTCATGAATATATCATAGATACCTTTAAGATTTAGCTGACACGTGACGAAAATATCAACATTGATTATTTTATATAAATCCTAAATAAAGAGAATATTGATTAGGTTCTTATAGCTGGTTTGAATAAATGTACTCATCCTTTGGAATTCAAGATAGAAATAGATTCTCGTAAAGAGCTGGTGGAGAAAGACATGCAAATGAATAACTTCAAGTTAAAACATAAAACCAATTATGTCAATATTGGGGGTGGTACAAGAAGGAGCTATGTGCAACAAGGAGAATAAAGGAGGGGGCATCATGAGGTATCAGCTGGAAATAGTGTCCAAGTTCATTAAGTAGTGGTTAATATTTCTAAACAATAACAGAGTCTTTTTGGGTTGACCTCATAACACAATTAACAATAAGGAATTGGAGAAAATAAGGTGTTAATTTCTTAAGTAGTTAATATATTTATTGGAAATTATTTTGGTAATTAAGTAAATAGTTTTAATTAATTAAAAAGGGTAGAATGTTAATTAATCCTTGAGATTAGTTGGAATATTCTAGAACCCTTCAGAAAGAATGTTAGGGACAATTTTATCCTAAAGGATTACGATAAGATAGGTTCTGAAAAGGGGTAAGGATTATCCTTAGGAATGTGAATGGTTTAAGGATTTTCCAGGAGCCTATAAATCGGATGTTTAGGATCAAATCCAAGGGATTTCCTACGACTAATTTTTTTCTCCCCTCTCTCTTTCTTCTCTATAAGTCACAATTTATATCACCTCTCTTGGGATATAGAAATCTCAATTTAACCCTCAGTAGGGTTTCCCTTCTTTGCTTCTTGGAGTTTTAGATCTAACTACATTCGAGAGATCATGCTTTGGGTCTTTCAACCATTGCAAAGTTTATCAATCACAAGGTCTCAATCGGATTTAAGAGGTAAGTATTATATCCTTCTTTTAGTTTGATTTTAAAGTACGTTGCTAAAACAAGTAAAAATTATATCTTAGGGTGCACATACACTTAGGTAAATTATTAATGGTTTCCGCTACCTAGTTAATATGTATTTGATTCTTAGAAAATCCAAGATTGGTATCAAAGTTTAACACCCAAGGTTCCACACAAAAATACACCATAACTTTTTTCATTTTTAAAATATTAAACACTAGATGCAGTAATACATATTAAACAAGAAATTGCAAAAGTTATTAAACTTAACAAAAGAAAGCCTACATATTATATTGGGTTGTCATTTATTTTACTATACAAGCTAACTTCTATCATTTCCATCTTCCTAAAAGACTTTACTTTAGTAATACCTTTAGTTCCTGAAAAACACATCAATGATATACATCATAAGCTAAACGTTTAGCGAGTGAAACAAATTTTGTATAACTTGTTACAAAAATATCATTATTAAACACCACTTTTCGTACATTCCAAGTATGGTAGTTCATGACAAGTGACCCTAAGATGGTTGTGTATCCGAAGTAACAACATTCCGATGAAGAGAATATTTTTTAGATTGATGATGATTGAATGATCGAGTGACTAGTATTGTTTACTTTGTTAGTACTTTATCTTATTTTTTGTAACACCTATAGGAGACAAGGTCAATCACAACAATGTGTCGGGCGGTTTATTTGAAGTTTACCTTTATTACATTTGACTCCCATTGTGATTGGTTCTAGGTTAGTATAAATAGGACCATCAGCCAACGTCATTCCTACCTTTTTACACCCTTTGAATCATCAATCAAAGAATCATTTCATCAAATCATTTCCTTCTATTTGTTCTTAAAGGCTTATTACTCTTCATATTCTTATAATATCTTATCCTAGTTGAATACTTTGTTGTTCTATCTCTTCAATGCTTGACTAGTTCTATCCAAACTTGACTTGAATATATTATTTGCCTCCACTGTTGTGCTTATCTCAAGGTTGAAGTAATTAAACATTATCCTATATATCTTGAGATATCTTCAGCTCTCACAATTGATATCATACCCAAAGTGGTTGTTTTCTTAAATCCACTTGGATACAGTCGGGTGCTCATCAATCGCCTCTGAAAAGGATGTGGTAACATCAAGTCCTGTCTTTAGAGTAATGGATCTCTAAAGAAGTTGAAGCTCTATAACCTCTTTCACAAACTGCAAGGTCACGAGTCTAATGTTGCTCAAACCTTAAGAGAACTCTCTGGCAGTCCTCTTTATCTTATCTGTTCAGTAAAACCACCGATTTTGACCCTTGTGGTTTCTAACCCTTTCAAAGGTGTTCTACCTATTTCACCTTCGGTGTTTGAGGAAAACTTTGACCCTAAGGCTACAGTGTAACGCCCGGGTTTTCAGGGCTAAGCATTTTTGTCAATGTAATAGTCTAGGTCAACTATTGTAACTCTTTTTGAAGTAATAAATATGAAATATTTGAG